GGTAATTACATTTTTTATCTGACAGTGTTCATGGGTCTGGAATCCAGGCATGGCTTGGCGTGATCTTCTGTGCAGGGTTTCACAAGGCTGCAATCAAATTGTCAGCCATTCCATGGTTCTCCCCTGGAGCTCAGGATCCTTCTTCCTAGCTTACTTGGTTGTTGGCAGAACTAAGCTCCTTGTGGTTGTGGGACTGAAGTCCTTGTTTTCTTGCTAGCTGTCAGATGGGACCACTCTCCACTCCCTGAGGCCACCCAGAGTTCCTTGCTATGAGGTCCTATAAGCAGCTCACAGCATGGATGTTTGCTTTTTTCCAGGTCAAGAGGAACTCATGTCTCAGGCTTCCTTTATCTTTGAACCCTAAATCTCCTTTTTTTTTTTTTTTTTAAGATTTTATCCATTCATTTGACAGAGACACAGTGAGAGAGGGAACACAAGCAGGGGGAGTGGGAGAGGGAGAAGGAGGCTTCCCGACGAGCAAGGAGCCCGATGCGGGGCTCGATCCCAGGACCCTGGGACCATGACCTGAGCCGAAGGCAGATGCCTAACGACTGAGCCACCCAAGTGCCCCCCTAAATCTCCTTTTAAGAGTCCACCTGAGGGGCGCCTGAGTGGCTAAGTCAGTTAAGTGTCCGACTCTTGATTTCGGCTCAGGTCATAATCTCAGGGTCATGGAATTGAGCTCTGCCTGGAGACCCTCATCGGGCTCTGTGCTCAGTGCACAGTCTACTTGTCCCTCTCCGTCTGCCCACCCACCCTCCCCTCTCCGTTTTCTCTCTTTTGAATAAAAAAAAAGAGTTCACCTGGCACTATATTGTACACCTGAAACTAATATAACACTATATGTTAACTATACTGGAATTAAAAACAAAAAAAAAGAGTTCACCTGATTAGTTCTGTATCCTCCTGGGATAATCTCTCTTTTGATGAACACAACTGATTAAGGCGTTTCATCTGCGAAAATCCCCTTTGCCGTATAAAGCAACATAATCACAGGAATAATATCCCATCATATCCATTGGTCTTGCCCATGGCCAAGGGAGAGGATTGTACAAGTCTGTAGATCAATGGGGGACATTTTATTTTTTACTTTTTAAAAAATTTTTAATTTTTTTAAAAGATTTTATTTATTTATTTGAGAGAGCTAGAGAGAGCATGAACAGGGGGAGGGGCAGAGGGAGAGGGAGAAGCAGACTGCCCACTGAGCAGGGAGCCTGACTCTGGGCTCAGCCCCAGGGTCCTGAGATCATGACCTGAGCTGAAGGCAGACACTTAACGACTGAGCTACCCATGGGGGACATTTTAGAATTATGCCCACCACACTGCTTATCTGCACTTTCTATTTCTTTTTTGTAACGCATAGGATTACTTATGAGATAAGGAAAACACAATGAACGTTATTAAAAAAATAAAAAGCAAACCAGTCTCCCATGAGAAATATAAATGCTAGAGTTAAGAGATATTTCTCTTGTGAGTCTTCATAGAAAGGATGCTGTGTGTATCTCTGTCAGCTAAATCTCTACTAAAGACAGAGTTCCACAGGGCTGTTTCTTATAACACCCTTGTGCAGGACACTGGCTTCATGCCAAATACAGTAAAAGTAGTTCCAGAAACAACAAAGTCCAATTTTTGGCAGACAGGTTATAATCTAGCATTCATATGCAGTATCTGGTATGTGTTGATTCAGTCTTGGTGATGAGCTGATTTAATCTGGGGCTTACCATATGCTTTGGAGGAGTCTTTTCATGAACCTTCTAAAATTTTGTGCATGTGTATGTGTGTGTATTCCTTTGTGGAGAAAGTCCACTGGTTTCATCAGATTCTTGATAGAGTGTTTTTGACTTAAAAAAAAAAAATCCACAAAAGCAGTTAAAGAATCATTGCCCTAGGGGCACCTTGGTGACATAGTCAGTTAAGCACCCACTCTTGGTTTCAGCTCAGGTCGTGATCTTAGGGTTAGCTGAGCATGGAATCTGCTTGAGATTCTCTCTCCCTCTTCCTCTACCCTTCCCGCTTGTACTCTCTCCCTCTCTTTCAAATAAATAAATAAATCCTTAAAAAAAAAAGAATAATTGCTCTAAGAAGGATTTCTTTAGCTGTGCACTATTGATACTTTGGGCTGCATAATTCTTTGTTGTGGGAGGTTGTCTTGTGCATTGTGAGATGTTTAACAGCATCCTCAGCCTTTACCATGGAGTACAGGAACATCCCCTATTTGTGACAACCAAAAAAAATCTTTGGATATTGCCAAATGTCTCCTGGAGGGAATGGACCTCACTTTGAGAGCCACTGATCTTCAGGAAGAATGGAGGAACAAAATGTAACTAAGGTGAAATCTAGATAAAAAACATGCTGGATGCAAATTTCATCTCTTCCGGTTATGATCTTGGGTAAATTACCTTCTTTCAGCCTTAGCCAGTTTCCTCATGTGTAAACTGGGGATACAGTACCTACCAAGTAGGGTTTTGATAAAGATCAAAAGAAATAAAGCATGCAAAGCCCTTTGCAGAGTACCTTATATGGTAACCACATAATATATTGTAGCTATTCATACCGTTTCCATAGGTGAGACCATTCAGTATTTCCTCGTGTCCTTTATTTCTTCATTCAACAAGTATTTACTAACTGGTGTCTGTGTGTCCAGAACTTTCTTTTTTTTTTGATATTTTTTTATGTAATTTCTAACCCCAACTTGGGGCTTGAACTCATGACCCCGAGATCAAAAGTCACATGCTCCACCCACTGAGCCAGCCAGGGGCCCCTTAATTATTTTTAAAAAAAACATATATATTTTTAAGTACACTCTACCTCCCAATGTGGGGTTCAAACTCACAACCCCAAGATCAAGAGTTATATGCTCAGGGCGCCTGGGTGGCTTGGTTGGTTAAGCATCTGCCTGGAGTCCCAGGATCTGCCTCGCATCAGGTTCCCTACTCAGCGGGGAGTCTGCTTCTCCCTTTGCCCCTCACCTCACTTGTGCTCTCTCTCTCCTCTCTCAAATAAATAAAATCTTAAAAAAAAAAAAAAGAGTTGCATGCTCTGCTGACTGAGCCAGTCAGGAACCCCCAGATCTTTCTTAATGAGCTCTGCTTGAATTATTCCTTCTCAAGCCCTTATCTGGTAGGTACTATTATCATTTGTGTTTGTTTTTTATGAATGGCACTTTTAATGCCAGCATAATATTCCATTACATCTATTTTTAGTCCTCGTCCAGGCCTCCCTTCTGAGATCCAGACCCATATATCTACGTGTGTGTCTCCCCAAGAATGTTTAAATTTGGCATCTTTGGCCAATTAGCCCAGTGCCTAGCACCTAGTAAGCCTTCCATAAAAAGGAGCTATTACTGGCCATCAATGTCATTTTTACCCCCGCTGTCTGATCTACAGCCTTTTCTACTCCTCAGTAGGATCCCAGAATCACTTATTTTTTGTCAGAAGTCCTGGCCCTGGTTTAAAGCCCTGATTTGTTGTCCCTGTGGGGGGCCCTTAGGAGAATCCACCCTGATTCTCCCACCTACGGGGAAGAACTGAAGCAATTAAAATGAAGACATTCTCACTCCAAGCCCACACTACCCTGAACAATCATTTTGGTGCAGAGAATTTGCTATCAGTCAGTAGACAGGATATAAAGTTCCCCCACAGCAGCTTTGCTGGGTGGGCCAGCATATGCTGGTGATTCATGGCACCACAGGGGCCTGTGGAGATCTAGATTTATACTATGGTATAGTTACAGCAACAGTGTCTGCTGAGTGCTCCAGAATGACAGTTCGTGGTTTGGGAGGGCTACACAGGGAGCAACTTGGCAGCCAGACTTAGGGAAGCAGGGCAGTGAAATGGTAATGCCAGCAAGCTCTGGGTGGGGTAAATCTGTGTTTTGAGTCCCATCTTTGCTTCTCGCTATCTACGTAATAGTAGGTGGCTCTCTCCTGCTGAGCTTCTCATTTTTCCCATCTGTAGGGGAGGTGATGCTAACGATGGTTAACATTTAAGGACTGCTTACCCTTCAGTCAAAACAGAGGAAATTGTCTCTACTCAACCATTAAGAGTTATTTAAAAGTAGGATTTATTTTTTAAATACAGAAAGCTATATACTCCCCCACCTCATAACACATCCACTATAGCTTGATGACACTTAAAAAATAAAGAAAAGACATATATGGTTTGAAAATGGAAGTCAAGAGTACAAAATGAGAAAAGCTTTCATTTTTCGACCATTTTTTACCTACAAAAACAGCAATTTCATAGGATTCAATTTAGTATGTGCCAGCCACCGTTCTAAAGCTTTATATGTATTAACTTCCTTAAATTCCTCAACAACCCCACGAGGTAGGTACAATTATTATCCTTCCTTGGTAATAATACAATTTCTCCCCAAGAGAAGCAGAAGGATCTGGAGGAGAGCGCCAGCAACCTAAGCAGCCTCCACGTGATTTAAAAGTTTGAGAAACACAGAGGTTAGTATATGCAATTAAGTGTCAAGGAGGATTATCCGCCGGGTGTCCGAACACCTGGGGCGCCACACCTCGGCGCGTATTTGGCCCGAAGCTCAATCCCCCACTGACCCACCCGCAACTGGGGACCAGCCTCTAGGTGGTTCCCCGGAGAAGGAGCGCCGGGTTCCGATTCCTCAACCAGTCTTGCTAGAGTAGGCGTACTCCATGCGAACAAAAGCGTTCGGAGTGACTGCCGCTTTGGCCACTCAACGCCGAGCCCAGGCCCGCGCCTCCAATCACAGCGGAACTTCCAATTGGTGGTGTCTTTCTGAAGTAGGGCGGAGGGAGGGAAAAGTCCCGCCTCCCTAGGGGTTCTTAGCCAATGGCAGGGCCCGGGCGGCAGCCGCCGGTTCGGTTGCGCGGTGTGTGATGATCTGGGGGCCTGAGGGCGGGGCGGGGAGCAGGCCGGGGTCTGTGGGGAGGGGACGATTCCCGCGGGCGCGCGGAGAGAGGACGGTGACAGCCACGCGCGCACGTGCGCGCCTGGCCGCAGCGCGGCCCCGAGACCTCCATCGGCCGCTGAGAGGCGCGCGGGGGCTGGGCCGCTGCCGTCGAGGGGCCCCGTCCCGGGGCGTCCCCGGCGTCCCCGGCGTCCCCGGCGTCCTCAGCGTCCCCGGCCCGAGTCCCTGAGCACCGGGCCGAGCCCACCCCGTCGGTCCTGGCTAGTGTTTCGTCCCGGTGGCCGTAAGGGCCCGTCCCCCAGCTCCCCTTTACGCTCCCGGGGCTGGGTCCTCACGGTCCATGCTGGCCGCTGGGGGCCTGCGCCGACCAGAGAGCTCCCAGGCCGGCCAGTTGGCTACCATGGTGGCCCTGAGGCCTGTGCGGCTCCTCCAGGGGGGCTAACAGGTCCAGAGTGCAGGCCTCGGGGCGCGAGGGTCCCGGGCCTGAGCCCCGCGCCATGGCCGGGGCCATCGCTTCCCGTATGAGCTTCAGCTCGCTCAAGAGGAAGCAGCCCAAGACGTTCACCGTGCGGATCGTCACCATGGACGCCGAGATGGAGTTCAACTGCGAGGTAACCGGCTGGCAGCCCCGACGGGCTGTGGCAAGGGGGAGCCGGGCGGAATCCGGCGGAATCCCCGCTCTCCGGGTCCTGCTGTGGGTCGGGCACCAACTGGGGCGCCCCTGCCGCGGTGACAGTCGAGGTGGAAGCTTGAGGGATTCAGCTTCTACCGTCCCTGAGTATAGACAGAGCCGACCAGAACCGGAAGGAGCCATCTAGGCCCAAATCCTCATGTTAAAGATAATTGCTGCCCTTTCTTCATAGGGCTTTTGGGTTTGGAAGCACTTCCTGAAGGTTTTCATTCATTGTTACTGCAAAAGGCTGGAAGCATCTGTGGTGGCGAATTCTGGTTTTCAGTGTCAGGCTCTATAGGCTTTTTTTTTTTTTTTCTTTATTAGATAGTATTATGTGCCCCAGGTATTAAAAGTTGCATCTTGTATATTGGAAAGGCTATACTTCCTTCCCTTTTCCAAAAGCTTTCATTTTCTGGAAGAAAAGCCTTTAAAGAAAGAGTTAATACTAATACTTACTTTTCATGCAGTTTACATCATGATGATAACAGTTATTATTTGTTGAATATATTCTAAGTGTCAGACGCTCATGCATTTAATTCTCACAACTACCCAATGAGGTAGGTACCCCAAACCATATATCAAGTAAGTGGCAAAGTGGGGTTTTAAGTCAAGCTTTTAGCCAAAATAGTACTGCCTCTCAAGTAATTTAAGTCCTTGCTAGTCCAAAGTGTGGTCTGTGAAACAGCAGCATTGGGAGCAGTGACCTAAGTCAGGGGTTGACAAACTTTTTCTGTAAAGGGCCACATAGTAAATATTTTCAGCTTTGCAGGCCATAGGATCTCTGTTACAACCACTTAGCTCTTCAGCTCAACTATTATAGCACAAAAGCAGCCTTAGGATTCACTGCCAGCATGACAGCGTGAGGAGTGTCATTGACTGTGCTCGCCTGTAAGGCTGGTGAAAATTACTTCAAAAAACTCTTAACTATTTAAACCCTCTGGAAATGGTCCCAAGGGCAAACATTCATCAAATGAATAAACATCCATTCAAGAAAATCTGTGAAAATTTGCTAAGAAAGACAAGTCTATAGTATTTGAATTAAGGCTACTACCTCCCTCCCCACTTCCAACTCCCCAAGGTGGAGATTCCACTCCAGACTGCTGCAAGCCAGAACACAGGGCTCCCTCTACCCCTAGCTCCCTGTCAGACTACTTTCTTCCCAGGAGGAGCAGGACGTCAGTGTTTCTTATCCTGTCTCAAGCCTACTTGTTGCTGAGACAGTCCCAGGTGTGTATAGTTGAAATACTGAGTCTTCCTTCTTCTATCCAGCTCCTACTCACAAAATGGGAGCTGTGCCTTGGGTATGGCACACTGAGACGACTGGGGCCCCGGTTGCTCTCGTCCCAGACACAGCTTATGCAATGGTGGTTCCATGCCAGAGGAGGCAAACTGAGAAAATCCCAGGCTGGTGTCCCCTGCCCGCCACCCCCCGCCCCCCCTTCCACCAAGGACTCAGAGATTTTACCTGGAGGGAGAAGGCGGCTTTAAAACCTGTAGCTCCTGCTCTCTTCCCAAAGGCAGTTAATTCATTTGCAACAAAATGTGAAGTTTATGCCTAAGGGAACTTTTAAAAACTGGAGGATTTGGTGAAGGGCAATTGGGAGGAGATTATGAATTTAATGAAGATATAGCCTAAATTGTAGGCCAGCTAGTTGGCAGGAGAGAATCAAAGATAAAGACGGGTGGGAAGAGCCCTCATGGGATTGAATAAACTGTTCCCTCAAAAGAACCACCTTTGATTGGATTATTTTGTAGAGCACGTTATGCCCCAGGCATGGTTGAAAATAATAGAACAGTAAAACACAGTTAATGGAGTTTAACAGCTGGGTGTGATCAGGGGAAGAGAAAGAGCCCTCCTACTAAAACCACTGTCACTCCAGGATGACTGTGGCCATAACCAAATTTGTGCCTCTCTGAGGAACAACATCATAGGCCTTAACACTGTGTGAAGGAAATAGATTTCGCTAAAACATTCCAGCCCATCACTAAATAAACAAGCAAATACCAATAACAAGCCCTGGGCTGGGGTGGGGAGAACCAATCCGGTATCTATATTATTTAGATAATGTATTACCAAAAATGTCCAGTTTCCAGCAAAAAATTATGAGGCATGTGGGGTGCCTGGGTGGCTCAGTTGTTAAGCATCTGCCTTCGGCTCAGGTCATGATCCCAGGGTCCTGGGGTCGAGCCCCACATCGGGCTCCCTGCTCAGCAGGAAGCCTGCTTCTCCCTCTCCCACTCCCCCTTCTTGTGTTCCCTCTTTCACTGTCTCTCTCTCTCTGTCAAATAAATAAATAAAATCTTAAAAAAAAAAATTATGAGGCATGTAAAGAAACAGGGAAATGACCCATCGGATGGAAAAAAGGCTAGCGTAGAAATTGCCTGTGAGAGCGACCAGATGTCAGATTTAGCAGAAAAGGTTTCAAAT